ATAGTAATTAAATGATTTAATTAACTAGACTGTGACAATAGAAAGATAAAATTATCACTCCCTGACAGTATAGAACATTTGAGCTATTAACTTATTTATTATCTGTTTCAAGTAATGCTAATCTTCAATTTTTTTAGGAAAAAACAGATCCTATTAATTTTTCAAAATAAAATTTAACATATTTTATTAAGAGTAAGTTATAATATTATATGCACAAATTTTTTAAAACAAAAATATGATCAATGTTCCCTCTTAAGATTAATATTGATTCATTTATAAAAATGTTAATTGTCAATACATTTATTTTTTATAAAAAAATTGGTCTGAAATTATATTTATAGGAATTTTGCAAACCGCGTCTTTAGAAAAAGGATATACATTTCCAAAATAATAAAGAAAAGATAGTATAATTTGAGAATCCTTAAAATATATAATGCGCTCTTGTATAATAAAATTCTAACCGATGGTAGTTAAAATCAAGTGCAATGGACTTGATGCCTCCTACTCAAAGTTGTGTTTGAACCTTATGCATTTTCACTCTTTGTTAAGGTTCTACAATGCTTAAATATGAATTAATCGTGGTATCAAATATTCTCTATCTCAATTTATAAAACATTTCTAAATGTGATTTTGTGTTCCAAAATATAAGACGTTTCAAACACAACTTTGATTAAGAGGCATCCAATCCATTCCATTTGATTTAACTACCATCAGTAAATGTTTCATTAATAATAATTATTCTACTATTACCCATCATTATTTCATTCCTTAAATAAATTCTGTTCTCTTTCTCAATTCTCTCTTATCAATGAAGGATATTTTTAGAATATTATAAAAAATTTAAAATTGTAAATTATATTTAATAAATTTTATTGGTATGTATATTTTTAAAAAAAATTATAAATTGAGATGAAGAAAGTATTAGATAATAATACTGACAAATATCTTAAAAGGTAAACAATAAAAAATCACATCTCTTTCTTTTTAGAGCCCTTTATAAAGTGGCTCTCACTATACATGTTATGGAATATATAATCCCACATGATAATCACTGTGGGAGCAACAAATGGCTTCCTTCTAGAAAAATTAATCAAAGTCAATTATAATTAAGGATTAGGTTTTTCACCACAAAACACAAGATTTATTTACATATTTTCACACCACTATTACCTCACAACACACACACAGACACACTCACTCACAATATTGTTTAGTGTAATGTGCATAGGCAATTATTGGAATCTCCAATTCAGTTGTGTATGTGTGTGTGTGTGTTGATCAGGACATATGAATAGAACATAGGAGGCCACCATGTATGTGGCTGTCGGTGTTGCTGCAATGATTATGCCATTTTTGAATTCTGTGTTTTTATGTCTACTTCCAATTCTAATTCTAATCATGCTACCCAAAAAAGTGAGTTCATCTCTCACCCCAAAAGGAATAAGCCGTCAAATACCATTAAGCCACACAAGGTGGTGAAACCCTGTCGCTCTTTTCACTATTTAATTCATATAGATTATGATATGCCCCACCATAAGAAACCCTAGATCCCACACAATTCACAAAAAAGCTGAAATAAGTGTGTATGCATGTATACCCAATCTTAACTTCATACAATTAAAGAGGTTTTAGTATTATTCTGTTTAAAATCTCAACCCCCCCCCCCCCCCAAACACACACACACAATCCAAATGTTGCTTTTTCTATAGTGCCAACCGGTTTTCTGAAAATCAATTCAGGTTTTGATTAATATGGATTACTTCAGATATAATTATATGGGTGTAAATCAATCTCAATGATAATTTTTTCTATACATAGGTAAATTAGGTTTTGGGAGCTTGAGAGAGTTAAGACATGCCTCTGAACTTAAATAACACTTACAAATTACTCACTAATAAGGTTCTCACATCAATAATAAGATTTGAACTTATACTCTCATAGATTACAGGCCAAATACCTTCCAATTGAAATGGCGTTTCTTGGTGCTTAGTGAAAGAATTTAATTATGAGGAAATGAGGAATTGACGGAGGCAGGTTGTTAAGTAATTTACCCATTACTATAATAAGGGTAAAGGGGGCGAGATGCTGCTCAAGAAACTGCAAACTTCTGGTAGGTCCCTATACACAACTTGGCATGAAAAAGTGGTTTGTGCCTGAGTGATTTTCGACCACCATCCAATGAAACAAACCGAAGTATTGAAAAGAGAGAATCACCCTATACTTGTCAAATAGCTAGGAATCTTTAGACTAGTATTAGTGCAGTAACACTGTTGATACTTTAAAAATAATGTTTTTTTTATTGTATTTAACATTTGAATTAGACATAATTATTGCTTTACGTTTACTGGTATCCTACGCAATCTTTTAAAGTAAGTTATTTGCAAACACAAGAAGTTTTGCTGCACAAGAACAATTTGTCATGAGGATTCTCTCCTACTACAGCATGAATCTGCAAAGAGAGGAAGATAAATGCGGATGGAGTCATGGAACTTACATGTTGAGGTTGATTTATACATAACATGGTCCTGCTTTGTTAAGGTAGTATGGAGGCAAGGAGAGAGCTGGCAGGAGAGAACAATGGGTCCAACAATTTGGCCCCACCTAACAGAAGAAAAATAAAGCATAAACAAGAGAATCACTCAAAACATGTAAGCTTGGGAATTCAGAAATAACAAATTGATTTAGTGGCAATGCTACACCACCTATACTCTAAAACAAGAGTTGTATCTAATGAATCTAACGCATGACAACATGATGCAATATGAAATTTCATATTCTCTTCTAATACTCCGCATTTTGTGGCAGTATATGGATCATGTCATTCCTAAATATATCCATGTCAGTATCAGTTGGTCCTATATATCAGATTTGACCAGTTTACATCTCTTAAATACTTCCTTCTAAACTAATGAAAGAGAGCGAGAGGAAGAGAGAAAGATAGACCTGACATCTGTAAAACTTGTATAAATTATATTTAGAGATGCTCTTCTCTTTACTGCTCTCATTAACTTAATCCTAGCTTCTTTCAAAAGATCAGAGCTCTGTAATTGACATTTCTTTTTCTTCCCCATCTTCTTAGCCTTCGGGAGTGGCCCCAAAAGAGAGGACCCTACAGGCCAACCATGTTCAGAGCTAGGGCCCCAAAGAAGCACACATGAACCAAAATCACGTGCCTCGTGGACCAATACATACCCCACCAACTCCATCCCTCCCTCTCCAATAGCCCCACTGTCCTTCTCATCCAATCTTAAAGCAGGATACGCGATGTTTACATTCTGACAGCTACAGATTCCTTAAGCAACACTCTCCTAAACATACGTGCAAGGTATGCAGAAATATACGCAGAGTTGCATATGAAACTTTTCTAAATTGGGAAAAAGGCCATCCTTGACTCTGAAACATATCTGTCGTTGATGGAAAGATGGAATATTGGTTGCAACTGTTTGGAAAAAGTGCAAAGATTTTGTGAGATCTCTCTTTGCTGAAACTTTTCCACATCAACTTGGATTATACATGATGGCTTTGGCGTCCCTTTTGAACAAACCCCGAAAAGGAAAAACCATAAAAGAAAAATCCTTAAAACTGTTCCTCCCAAGTAAGCGGTCTTCATGCGGATTGATGATAATGGGTTGACTCAGCCACCCACAACTTCTTTAAATTCTGGCACCACCCCTTCAATTCCTTCGCTCTCTATCACTTCCCTCCTTTTGTTCTTGCTCACAAAGAAACAACAAAGGCCTTCATACATGATTCGACTTCTTCTGCCTTCAACTACCCTCGTATCCATCGACAGGAAAATGAGACCCCCATCGCTTGGTCTAGTTAAGGAACACAACATTCTGTTCCTTAAAGGCTTCATGATCCTGTTGTTCAGTTTCATAACAATTCGACTTAACTTCTGTGTTTCCAGTATCCCTTATTCGTTAAAAACACTTCCCCTTGAAGGTCATTTCAATTTTGATGATGTTAGCTATGCGGCCAGGGATTTTGGCAACAGGTATCAATATTATCCAATGGCCGTGCTGCATCCAAAATCAGTATCCGATATTGCAGTCATCATCAAGCATATCTGGAAGATAGGTCCTAGTTCCCAGCTCACCGTTGCAGCCAGAGGCCATGGTCACTCACTCCAGGGACAGGCACAAGCTCATGGAGGAGTTGTGATCAACATGGAATCACTCAAGTCCCCTGAAATGCAGGTTTACGCAGGAAATTCTCCATATGTAGATGTCAATGGTGGCGAGCTGTGGATAAACATCCTGCGAGAGAGTCTAAGATATGGGTTAGCACCAAGATCATGGACAGATTACCTGCATCTTACAGTTGGTGGCACTCTGTCTAATGCTGGAATCAGTGGACAGGCATTTCGTCATGGTCCCCAAATAAGCAACGTCCAGCAGCTGGAGATAGTAACAGGTTTGTAACTTGGTGAGAAACCCATATGTCAGACATAACCAAGGTCAAGAGGCCAGCAACAAAAGAATTTTATTTATTTATTTATTTTTTGCAGTTAAAACAACTTAACTGTTGCCTCTTATGATTTCTTCAAAACTGAGTAACTTTCAACTAGTCCTTGTATGTGTTGCGTCTTCGCCTTAGTGACATATAGGACAGTCTTAAATCACTGGTCAGGCCTCATGAGTAAACTTTTTAAAGTAAAATAAAAATTAGCATTCTCCTTGATTTTTCAAACATGATCGATGAATGGCTGCAGGAAAAGGGGAGGTGGTAAATTGTTCTGCGGAGCAGAATGGTGAACTCTTTCACAGTGTACTTGGGGGGCTTGGTCAGTTTGGCATCATAACCCGGGCAAGAATAGTCCTCGAACCAGCACCTACTAAGGTAAGCATCATAGATAACTCTCAGACTTAAAAAAAAAAAAAAGGTCTTTTGATTTTACTGCGTTGTGAAACTACAAGTGGTCATCGCAAAACTTTCTATTTTGAACAGGTAAAATGGATTAGATTGCTATATGCAGATTTCACAGAATTTACGAGAGATCAGGAGAAGTTAATATTTGCAGAAAGCATATTCGATTACATTGAGGGATTTGTGATCATAAACAAAACTGGTCTGCTGAACAACTGGAGATCATCCTTCAAACCACAAGACCCAGTTCAAGCTAATCAGTTCAAGTCAGATGGAAGAACTCTCTTCTGCCTAGAATTGGCCAAATACTTCAGTCTGGAAGATTCTGATGCGGTAAATGAGGTAAGCCAAGCAACAGGTCAACCTAAAGTTCCGTATTCTTCAAATATATTCATATATAAGTCACTAATACGTGTTAGTTATTAAATCAAAAATATTAAGGCATTTACCAACTTTCTCTTACTATGTTTCTTCCGTATGCAGGAAGTTGAAGAACATTTGTCCCACTTAAACTATATCCCATCAACACTTTTTCTAACGGAAGTCACATATGTTGATTTCTTAGACAGAGTCCATGTCTCTGAGGTCAAATTGCGGTCAAAAGGCTTGTGGGACGTTCCACACCCGTGGCTCAATCTTTTCATACCCAGAAGCAAAGTACACGACTTTGCTGAAGGTGTCTTTGGGAAGATCTTGAGAGAAACAAGCAATGGTCCAATTCTCATCTACCCAGTAAACAAATCAAAGTAATGTTTCCTGAAACAACCGATCTTCATTTCTCCACCAATATTTTTAGCCTTCAACATGTGACTAACATATATTGTTGTTCGCAGGTGGGACAACAGAACTTCTGTAGTAATTCCTGACGAAGACATTTTCTACTTAGTGGCATTTCTGACCTCTGCACTTCCTTCTTCCAATGGATCTGATGGCCTCGAACATATTTTAACTCAAAATAAAAGAATTCTAGAATACTGTGAAAGTGCCCGTCTTGGGGTAAAGCAATATTTGCCTCACTACACTACACAGGAAGAATGGAGGGCCCACTTTGGTCCTCGGTGGGAGGCATTTCTGCAGAGAAAATCTGCTTATGACCCCTTGGCAATGCTTGCACCTGGCCAACGTATATTTCAAAAAGCAATATCCTTCTCTTGACCGCGCAATTATTAATCGACAAAAGCGGCCCCCCTTGCGGCACATACAAAATGTGCCTTGTATGCAGAGGGAAGGCTGACTGATATCTGGTCAAAAAGAGGTCAAATAGTCAATGGTTTAGAGTTTAGACAGATTAAAATAGACAATTTTAGTACGAGGAAGGATGTATATATCAATTTTGTAAACAGACCTCTTCTATTATATTTTCTAATCTAATTAGACAGTCTTAATCAAAAGATTACATGAAACTTCAAAAAGGGTAAGACAAACATCACGAAAGAGAGTTGCCCAATAAACTATAGAATACTGGTAAAAACCACTCCAGCAAAGGTAAATGCAGGAAAACAACATTAGGATAGACATGCCTCAGAAAGGCGGTGGATATCAATCCGTAAGGATCCGTAACGTCAGTTTGCTAGAGCAATAAAACAAAAATCATGCCGCCAGACAACTGTAACAAAAAGGGTAACCAAAATATCAGCAATTTCAACCCTTGTAGCAAGGATAAAATGATATTCCCACTTAGCCAAAAATAAATAAATAAATAATAATTCACTATTCCTACAGTGACCAGTCATCTAAGATAGGTCCTAATAATGAACCGCATTCCCTTTACCTTTGTTATGTTTGTAATGCTAGTGCTCCGATTAAGCATAATTTCTCAAAAGCACAATTACGTCTTGTGTATATGTTATTAAGTGAAAATAAAAACTCAGATAACAAGTCATATCGGAAAACTGTTTATGCCTAGTCAAGAGAAATAATAAGCCAAAACTCTGACTGTTAAAGCCTATTTACGTGATGAAATTCAGTTTGTCTCTCATGTGCTTGTTCATGCTATAGCATTATTGGGAATCATTTCATGTGATTTATTTGTTTTTATTTTGTTTAATTTTTTGTATTTCTTCCCTTTAAACTAATAGTGGGGTATACTTTTTCCTTCCTTTGTTTTGTAATTTTATATTCGTTCAGCATCAACTAAAAGGATAAGATCAATAAAAAGAAGAACCGAAAAAATGTGTTACTGTTGAAGATTATTGTCACTGTTTTTCAGAGAAGGGTGGTATTCAGTGGCTTCTGGATCATTTATATTGATGCTCCAATCCCCATCACACAACGCAGGTTGCATCAATACTCCAGAAAGCGTTGGTTCAGACAAATCACCTCGTGACTCAATAATCAGCTCCATACAAGTGGCTTTTGTTGCCAATAATAAAGAACAACTTTCCACATAGGTTATAGCAGAAAGCATGGCTCAGAAGATTTAATGTTGGATTTGAAAGCACCCAGCAAATAGGTACACGCATACATATGATTATATTTATCAAATGATAAAGCAACTTACCAAAGAACATGAAGAACTCCTGCTGGGAATATATTCCATGAAAGGCATCCAACTACCTTTAGATAAGACGTGCAAGTAAATAAAGTTGAAGATAAATGCATTATAAGCCAGTAATTAATTTGTACATTGAAGGTCCACTGTCTCCACATGGTAGCAAAACAAGCTCAAGGATGTTAAATGAGAACATAGCGGTCACATGATTCTTGAATATGAAAAATAAATGCATTTACCTTATACATGAAATGCTTTCCCGCATAAATCTATTGCCAATTATTTTGCAGATTTACTGATCGATGACAATAGCATAAGCTATTTATTGGATCCTGTCCTAAGCCTATCTTCTGATAAAAGCATTTTGTCACCAAGTTCTCTTTTGGTGCTGGATTAACTGAGACTGCATTAATATGTATTCATTCATGACAAGAGGAATTTAATGATCCAGGGCCATATGCTGCCCAAATGAAAGTCACAGCACAAAGAAATTTAATGATCAAAGGAATGTTGCCTGACAGACTGCTGAGAATATGATTATGAAGTTGTTCTAATCAGAAAGTTGGATAAAATGATAGATATTAACTCCTTTGTATTAAATTTGAAATCATCATAGCATGTAGTGAGTGCCATTATGAAATTATTTTTATAACAAAAATTGAATTATGATATTTGAAAACAAATAAAAGTTCATCCTAATATTGCCAGCACCCTAGTGAAAGTGAAAAGAATCAGGTTTGCCGAAAGAACTTCAAAGTTCATAAGACATGCAAATTTTATCACATAAATGACAAAATTCTAGTTGCACCAACCTCCGAATATATTTAAAAATGTATTCCTTTTTGAGGGGACCATGTCACTTCAAATTGATGTTCACAGTTGACTCACCAGAAAGCACTCAGTCAGTTTCCATTTGAGCACAACATTAATTTTTATAAGCTAGTAGTTTAATCGGCAACAACAAATTAAGGCAAGGAACTTTTGCTTCAACTAGCTAAGAAACAATTTCCAATTTATGATTTAGCTTTTAAATTTCAATGAAGAATATACTCAAATTCACATGATTTCAATAAATTTCTATTATTCAAGGGTATGCAAATGCTTAAGTTAGTACAAGGAAATACCAGAGAGTAATAATTATAGAAAGCTCGTAACAATTGAAGCTATGTATAAAAGAAATGGCACGACCATGTGACAAATTCAAATCAACACTACCGAAACTGTTTTGCAGGCCACAGGTAATTAGACATTGTTTTCAACAGGGAAAACATCTCAATCTCTAAATATATTAATACGAACACTTTTATCCTAGAAAAGACAACCATTTCCAACACTCAGGTGCCATAAGTTAATAATGAGCAATGCAGTCCAAGCTTATCAATTGAAAGAAGAATAACCAAATTTAATTAGAGACTAAAAAAAAATCTTAAATGTAAGAAAGTAGACAGGATGCAGAACTAAAAAAGAGTGTACTTACTGAAACAAAATAGTTCTCAGCATCTTTATTGCATGCTTTTATATCCTTGTTCAGAAGAGCCATTGAGAAATCATCTGCTGATGTACGAGGGATTCGAAAAATTGAAGAAGCTAGCTTGCAATCCACCCATGTCAAGAGGTTTTAACCTTCAGCCTTCGGTCCTAAAAATCATAGAATCAAAAAAAGAAAGTAACTAATAAAGTGAAGTCAAACTGATGCATAGGTGAATGAAGCATGATGCATGATACCATCAAATGAACCAAAAATGCAATGCCGTAAGGTGCTAACAAATGCTTCTCTCGGATAAAGTGTGCATTGGAACTCTAGAGTTTTGACATAACGGCTGGTCTATTCTGATAAGAAATCACCATCGCCTCACGGTCGTGGCAAAGTGAGGCAAGACTAACAAAGCATGTATGAGCAATCCAAGTTAATGAGAATTTAAAAATCTAGTGTTGGTGAAATGGAAGCATGGAATCGTGTTGCTCCTTTTGCACAGACTCATGCGGCCACCCATCATTTGGTTATAGACGAGTGTAATGCTGGAAACAAGCTTTGTATAGGATTTTGAATCATGGATCCTCCTTCAAAATATATATCAACTACAAAAGCAAGATATTTTTGGGAGCTGCACTCTGATTTTATGGCCACTCCAGAATTCAGGATTCCATCATGTTTTCCGGTAAGAAAAATAAATTAGTCTCAAACAACTATTGATTACAGTGTGGTATAGGAGAAAAAGGAAAAATATGACAATTGAAAGAAAATAAGTCGAAAGCATTAAAAAAAAAGGGGGGGAAGCCAAGTTTGGAAGATCCAATCATCAGGCGCGCCAAATGATCTACAACAGAAGATAATTGATCATTTAAGCTCTTAGAAAAAAAATAATTTCATCCAATAATTGATAGCCAAAACAGAGTATTTTTTTTCACAAAATACTGGACTGGAGCAGTATGCTTCCTCCATGTTTGCAGCAACTGCATAGAATTACTATAATTATATCAGATCCTGCAATAACCACATCTTAAATAAGGGGGAAAAATAGTCGCTCTAAGTGAGTTTTCCTGCATCATACAAAATGTAGCTAAAGAGATGCAGAGAAGGAAAGAAGCGATCGTGCACTCAACCCCCGAGTATATTCATTATCACAAGACGTCCAAATCCTCCATTTCCATTCCTTGGTCTTTGTGAATTTTGTGGAATGTGAAGCTTGAAAGGGAATTTTCGGGTCTGATTTGCTTGCGGTAGAAATTGTAAGAACAATAGACGACGACGTGTCTGACTGAGAGAGTATTGCCGGGGAATTACTTTCAACCACCATTTCCCTTGAGCCCTGATCCTTGATGCCACGCCTCAGACTCCCATTCCTAAATTCACAAACTAAAAATCCCTCCTCCTCGTCGACGACGACCAGCCAGCAGCACCCATCGCCTGAGACAGGCCGGAGAGCCACCGCACTCAGCGAAGCCAGAACCTTCTAAGATCGCCCCTCCCTCTCTTTGCTTGTATTATCACTCATTCACTTGCCATATTCGCTTCTTCTTTTACGGCATACTGGGCCTGAAGAACATGATTCGTTTGCAACTGAGGAATCTAGCTTCGTAGGTCATTGCATTTTGTTATTCGGTTGTTGTGATGAACTGCATGCAAATCAAGTTGGGACTTTTGTGACTCGATTGCCGCATGATTCGGTACACTATACATGAAAGAAAGAAAATGATACTTGAAAAAAAACAAAAAATCACAGAATAAAACGTTATTATATCATGATCGCGATAATTTAAAAAAAAACTAAAAAACTAAAAACTAAAATATACAAAACTGTACTAAATTTTAAAAAAGTCACACAAAATTCCTTTATTTTAAATGTTTAAAATTAATATTTTTATTTTTTTTCATTTTTTATCACATACTTATCTATTGTAGTTTTTTAGCTATCTTATAGAAGTTAGACATGTCATATTAAAAAAAAATATTTATCTAAAAAATAACAATAGGGAAGAATGTGGTAAAAAAGAATAAAAAGTTAGAGAAATTAATTTTAAAATTTTAAAGATAAAAGAATCATGCGCAACTACTTCAAAATTAAAAAAAGTTGTATATTTTAGATTTTAAAAAAGTTAAATACACATAGTTATTAAAGAAAAATGATAATAAAATTTTTTAAATTGTATAAATAATAATTTAATCTCGTAAAATATCATAATATTAATAAAATCTCTAGAGGTCTCTTTGTCAATAACTTTTTTAAACAAAAGACCATTTTTTATCTTTACTGAAAATAATAAAACCCAATTACTACTTTTGCTTAAGAAATTACAATTTTTGTTCTGTAATTCACAAAAATTGAACAAAAAATTATAACTTGTTAAATATAATTTTTATTATTAAAAAAAGCCCTAATTATAACTTTTATTTTGTAAATTACAAGAGTTAAATAAAAAAATTATAATTTGTCAAGTGCAATTTTGTTTATTAAAAAATAAGTTCTCAAAATAACAAACTACATTCACAACTTTTGTCTAAAGAATCACAAATTTTCTTTAAAAAATTATAAAAATTAAATAAAAAATCACAATTTATTAATAAGAATAAAATAATCTTTTTTTAAAAAAGTTATCGACAAAGAGATTCTTAAAAATTTTATTAATATTATGGCATTTTGAGAAATTAAGTTATTATTTACATAATTTTAAAGAATTTTATTATTATTTTTCTTAGTTATTATGCTTATGCTTGTGTAAAAATTAGAATTATGATAGAATGGGATGGATTGTAACTTTCTTATTAGGTCTTAACCTACCTAACCCTTCCCTAAAAGATTTTTATTTTTTTACGCATGCAATGCTCAGCCACTCACCTAGCACACAGCACACAACACCTTAACTTACACCCTACACCCACATGCATGCCTATTTAATCTAAATCCCATTCATTTTAAATAAAACCTCCAACCCTTTAAGGAGATGAGTTGTAGTTAAAAGTTTTAATTCAAATGCTCTAGACATTTCTTAAAAAAAAAACATATAATTTTGAAATACATATTATTCTATTGTTATATATAGCACCAAGCTAACCTTTGAAGCAACTACTTTATCCTCTTATCTGTAGAGATGAGCCTCATGCGAGGAGGTCATAAAATTATTGGCAAATATATGTAGCCAATAATTTGGACAAACAAATTTATTAGATCAAGTCGAGTTCAATTTAAGATAAACTTATATGGTTTGAATGTGAAATAGCAAAATATATAAAAGACCTATATAACCAAAGTTAACCCAAACATCTTGGGTTTTTGGATTTATTTTGAAACAGCTTGAATACTCAAATTGTTAAAAAATATTTCAACCAATTTCAATTTTAATTTATTAAAAATTGCTAAAATTTATTTTAACCAATTTCAATTTTTAATTTTAAAAAATAACATTTCTCAAACAATATAACACTACAACTCACTTTTTCTTCCTATCCTTACTAATGTGAGTCCCTGAAACCATTGAAAAATAAAAAATTGAAAATATATGGAGTAACTTCTTTCATTTATTTTGCCTTAACATTTAAAAAAAAATAAAACAAGTGGTTATTGAAATATTGAGACTTCATTTAAGAATATGTGGGTGCCAAGTGAAAAATAAGTTGAAGGTTAATTTTATTTTATTAATAATAAATTTAGAGTTATTATTAATTAATTTATGCTTATTAAAAAAAGTTAGTTAAAATTTTAATTTTTAAAATTTTTTTGCATCTTTCAAATCATATCCTTGAATGAAATAAATATAACATTTGATTTTTTTCAAAATACTCTCTTTAATTACTTGTGTAGAATAAAATAAAGTAATGATATAATTAAAAGACATACATAAAACCTACAAAATATACTATATTTTGGATTAAGTGAGGATATAAAAAATACACTATGTTGTGGTCCGAAAGGAGTAATACATAGGTTGAAAGATTTGAATTGAAATAAAAAATGGAGAATATAATCAAATATCATTATTAGACTTTACTAACCACACATCACTTCAACTTACTTAATTACTTTAATTAGGTTTAATTAATTATGACATTAAAATTGGAATGTTACAATATTGTACTCTCTTGATCATATATTTTTTCATTATTTGAACGCTAGAGAGAGAAGCTCCACCTTCTCTCTAGTTCGTGGAGAGAAGGTTCAACTTCTTTCTTAATTTCTTAACTTGTGTTCTTCTTCTTGAGCTATCCTATGATCTCTGAAAAGCCATTCGATCCTAACTTCACCTTCACAGCATCCATATCTCATAAGGAAATGACAAATCCCCCTACATCTAAGGAGGAGATGGACTTATTACTAAGAAATATTTTAAAGCCAGATGAGGTGATGCATGAAAAAAGCTCAGAAACGCTACAACATTCAAATGTTATCAGACCTACTGCAAATGAGAATACTCCTAATCATCCAATGGATACATGGCACACCAATGAAAATGCTACTAATCCAATCAACAACAGGCCAGCATCATTCTAGAGTAACAAAGCTCCCTTATCATATAAAGAATCCTTAATTGGCTACAATGGGTGTTATGAAACAACATTGAGGGAAATGCAAGCCACAAGAATGAGGATCTTGCTAAAGAATTGGATCGTGACTGGTCACCTTCAGATAGAACTAAAAGACTTATGGAGCAATATTCAACCATTCATATTTCTAAAGAAGAATGGAAAAATATATGCTTTCCATGGATAGATGCCATAATCATCAACACACTGGGTTTGTACCTCAATCCTAAGTCCCTCAAGTCCAGGTTAGCTAGAATGTGGCATTTAAAAGATTTTGAGCTAATAGATCTAGTCAATTGTTATCACATTGTTAGAACAAAAGGATCATTTAGCATATGATAGAATTCTTAATAAAGGCCCCTAGACAATATTCGATCACTGCATATTAGTGCAACGGTGGTCACCTGATTTCAACCTAAATGATAATATTCTAGGGAAAATTGCTTTATAGGTTAGGCTCATAAACATTCCGATACAATATTACAATAAAGAAATCCTATGGAGATTGGGAAATTGCATTGGGAAGATGCTGAAGGTGGACTCAAACTCACTATCAAAATCAATTACCAAGGATGAACAGGGGAAAACTGAAAGAGGAAAATTTATGTGCATAAGTGTTGAAATAGATCTTCAAAAAAAATTGGTGCCCAGACTCCTAATCCAAGATGAACTATACAATGTTGAATACGAAAGCTTAGACTCGATTTGCTTCAGCTGCAGTTGCTATGGGCATAATAGAAATAGCTGCCCTCAGAATTCTAAGAATGCTAATCAGGAGAAAGACGCAGGATAGGGGAAACATGAGCACGACAGGAAAACAACTCCCAACAGCAAAATAATAGAGCAACTGGAAATAATCAAGGAAGAAAAGCACCGAATTCGTCGGAAAAAAACCTTAACTTACTGGAAGAGGAGTATGGAGAATGGATGAAGTACAAGCATCTAAAAAATTCTCGATTTCCTAGATACCCAGCGGACCCTCGGCCTCAACATCACAACTAAGATTTGGGCTTCTCTTCTAAGTTGAGATTTGACATCCTTACAACTCTAGATCGTGATCCCGACGACGCAAGGCAAAGAAAATCCACCCTAAAGTTCCACCTATAGTTGCTCCTATTAAAACTGTCAGAAAAGAGTGGCAGAGAAAGGACGTTGCAGGGGCTAAACGTGCTTGGCCGAAGGATATTGAGCAACTAGACGAAAAAGCTAGGGCTCAGTCAAGGAATAATGAAGTCACGTGTGTGTCCAGCGGTATTGGGCTGACCTTCAAATGGATGGGCCGAGTGAGGTAAATTTAGACAAAAACGAAGCAAACAGAATTCAGCCCAATAACACAAATAACAGGGCTTCTAAATGAGTTCACATATGTTATTAAATGGACTAAAAAAGATTTAAACTCAGGTAGTAGGATGAGGACTAAAAATAGCACAGATATTAGGCCTGCTAATAATGTTGAGAAACCTATATCAGGAAAAATTTATTCTCTTAATCCTAATATCTGGATCAATTAGAATTCTAGAAGAGAAAATCCAGCTCTAGAAATTCTCCATATCTCTTCCACCCCTCAGATTGATAATAGGAAACCTCCTGATCTAAATTACTCTCCTACATTTGTACCAGAAACTCAATTTAATGAGGATACTCTAATGGAAATTCACAATCAAGTACTAAAACTGGATAATCCTTTTAATGATCTTGATCAAGCTGGCGTAGAGGATGATATACTAGATGATGATCTTCTTGATGAGAATATGATCAGCCAATCCATAATGACAATTATAAAGATGATGATTTTAGCGATAATCAGATTGAGGACTCGCCAGAACTTTGAGAGGCTTAAGCTTCTTCCAGGTTTTTCTATTCCTTTTATTTATGGATTTAATTTACTGAAATTGTAGAGGTACTTGTACTAAAAGTTTTCCTAAGTGCATTAAAGAAATTACTAAATCTTTTAATACTCAAATTATTATTTTACTTGAGACTAGAGCTAGTGGAACTAGAGTTGATTCCATTGTTAGGAAGCTGGGTTTTTTTGATTAGATCCATGTGGAAGCTACTGGTTATGCTGGAGGTATCTAGCTTCTTTGGAATAATGATTCTGTTAACATTGATTATATTT